GACGTGACATGTTCGTACGAACCCTTTGTACGAACAAAAGTAAGAGAAATTTAGGATAAGAATACGAACATGTTCTTGCATGAGGCCCAATGAACACAAAATTTGCTTCAAAATCTGACAAAATTTTATTTTATTATTTTCTTTTAAATAAAGACAAAATGTTGTCATTGTCCAGTAATTGGTGTTGCACAGTAAATTACAAAAACATTACAGATWCTTCAGCAATAAAAATTACTTGGATATCAACAAAAATTATGAAAAATTGAATGTGACTCATAGATTCRTCAGCATAAATACTGATGTACAGACAATCACACAGTTGTTCTCGATAAGCTAGTGCACTCACCATCGATATTCCCTCCAGAGGATGTTTAGCATCGTTGGATAAATGTACCAGAATGTGGTCCAGTGTCTCTGGTTTCTCCTACAGAATGTCAGTCTTTTTAAAACGAACCATTTAAATGTAGCAGRTGTTAGGTGCCTGCTGTCTTGATCCTTTTCTGCATTTTCTGAACGAGTCAAATATCTTGCTCAGTCCTTTGTTTTCTTCTACCCTCTACCCCTCTGATTGCTGTGTCTGTTGTCTCTCTCTCTCTCATGCTTGTGACTCTTATCTTTCAATTCAGCTTCATCCACACCCCTCTGTTACAAGAAGCACATAGACAGGAAGTAAAACTCACCACTTCTTTGTCAGTAGGTTCTTGAGAATCTTTCTAGTGTATATTTTCAGTGCTAATAGAACCTGCACCTTTTGAAAGCAAAATTATGGAACTGAGAATTAAAGATTTGAAACCCAGTGTATCAAAATGTTAATTTTTGTAAATGTCAGTTTAAAAAAAGATATGGTGAATCGAGGGAGCTCGTTTTAGGTGTTAGTTTACAMTTTGCGAGCAAAATCCAAATTAACTCGCATGGTTATTCTGTTATTGTAAGTCATTCCAAAGTGTGTGAATGTTAAATAAGAGGACAGATGTACCTAAAGATTGTGATGTACAACAGATACTGACCATGAGCTTTAATTGGCAAACACGCCAGGCCCAGTTTCAGATCAGCTAAATGTGTAACACTATTTACAATTATTGTTGGTTTATATCGGATGCAACCCGGGCTCGAACACGAAGCCTCAGAATTACAAGGCTGTGGCACTGAATTAGAAGTACATAATTTTTTTTCTTCCATTGCCTCCATAAATTGTAACAGGACAACCCTTGTCTGAAGTAATATCTCGCAGGGTATGCGGCAGGTACTGTGTGTATGGTCTAAACTTCCTAGTGGCTGCAGTACACTGCTCTGCTGAGGAGCATCTGGCYGAGRCTTAGAAAAACAGTGACACAGTGACCCATCTTCAGTGTYCTGGTTGAGAGAAGATTCACATTTAAGATTACACAGATTATTCCTGTTTTCCTAACAGAAACTGCCTCAGACCATAATGTTTCCACCTCTGTGCTCACTACATGGATGCTGTTCTCCGGGTCATACTCAGCATTTCTCTTCCTCCAAACACAGCATGCTGAGTTGATGTCAGATAAATGGATTTTTGTTTTCATCTGATCACAGCACTCTGAATTGTTTAGAGGTTCACTATCTAACTTAAGATGTACAAGTGAAATTACAATCCATAATAGTGCAACTTGTTTCCAATGGTGTTCATGGTAACTCTAGTTCCACTGGCCTCTAGATTAACGATTGACCCCATGAGGCAAGATCTTGCCTGGACCTGAGTCTTTAAAGTGCTTATATATATTTTATACATTTCTGAATAATCCCACCAACAGTTGATAGAGTTTACATTTGTAAATCAATTTTTGCAGATATCAATTTTTTCCCCCGTGTCTGATGTCTTTAGGCAGTTTATTGGTCTTGTCCATTGGGGTGTAGAGATTGTAATAGACTTTATTCTAAGTATTTGGTAAAGTCTGCTTTCAGTAGGTTAAATATATTTTGAATCATATTAGTTTTAAATCGTATCACCCAACTATAACCCAAAACTGTGCTCTTAGAATTATTTGAGTTCAGCTGTGTTTTCCTTTGCCATGTTATTCACTACCAACAACACAACGTCATTAACATATTTTTTATTTTTGGTCTTTCAAAACTGCTTRATTTAGTTATTTCTTCTTTTAAGATTTCACAACATTTGGATCACGTGCTTTTCCCCTTGAGCAGTTTATTGTTTTGCTAAGATCAGAAGGTCCTCAGTTTTTTATATTTCTTCACCAACAGAGATTTCTTTATCTGCTTTGATAGGTATTAGAAAACTATCAATTTGTATGTTTTAGCGCATCAGTTGCCTTCAAACTTGTGTCGAAGCATTCTGCTCAATTGCACTGAACATAGATCTGCACAGACTAAATTCTAAAGGAATGACAGCTTCCTCTTTGTAGAAACTTTGTTTTCAAGCGTTGTGGTTATGTTTGCATGTTTACTTCTCATTGTGAAACCAAGCATTACTAACCAGCCTTTCGACACAAAACCATGCACTTTGCACACAGTGAGAAAAACCATGTTGACTGCAAAAACACAGAGTGCAGGGTTATTAAAATCTGTTGGTTTGCTCATTTATCTGTCCTTTATTTCATTGGTTCCCAACCCTGGTCCTCAAAGACCCCTATCCAGCATGTTTTACTTGTTTCCCTGCTATTCAGCAGGTCTTCAGAAGATTGTTAATCACTCACTCATTCAAACCAGCTGTGTCAAAGCAAGGACACTTCTAAACTTGCAGGAAAAATGAGTCCTTGAGGACCAGGGTTGAGAATCATGCTTTATCTGATTTATTATTTACAAATAAATGGCAAAGAGTTAATGGCTTCCAGAGGCAATACTAAAAAAAGACATTAAACTAAGTCAATATTATGTTTAGAAAATGTCTCATCAAGCTCAGAGAAGCTCTTGAGGTGTTGGTCAACATTTAAAGCAGTGATTTTTTTAGATGTTTCCTTGATTTGACACACATGGTTTGAATGAATGAGTGATTAACAATCTTCTGAAGACCTGCTGAATAGCAGGGAAACAAGTAAAGCATGCTGGATAGGAGTCCTTGAGGACCAGGGTTGGGAACCACTGCTGTATTTCATCCGGCCGCACTTTGACTTGCCTTCATTTTTCATGCACTTTGATCCATTTCTTTTATTTCTCTGTAGCCTCACTGTGTGCTTCTGGCCTCAAAAGAGAACTCTGCTCCAGTAAAGCTGGGAGGATTTGGAGTTGCAATACAGCTTGGAGAGTCGGGTTTAGTAGCTGGAGGTACAAACACACACAAACTTACACTACACATGTACATTCAAGTAAAGATTAAACAAAAAAAACATATAACATATTAATGGGTTAGTTAAGAAATTCAAAAAATACTCAAATTCTACACAAAGATAAAACATGATGTGACTGACCACTTGGTATTGTTAAAATCAAGAACAGATGCGGTCAAATTTGTTGGTACCTTATCATTTAGCAAATGGAAACACTCAAATGTCACAGAATTAAATTGAAACTGACTTAAGTAACAAGAAAACAAATACTCAAAATCAACAGAAAATTGGTCATTGTGGTGTACCACAATTAAAAATAATAAGTAATAAAATTGGCTTTGACTAAATTGATGGTACTGCCTAGAACAGATTGCATTCTCATAAATGGGTGGATGAATGAATAGATGGACATAAATCTCTGGAAAAAATTAAGAGACACTTTAAAATTATCAGTTTCTAGGATTTTACRTATGTTTGCATAAAATGAACAGTTATTTTATTCTATGAACTACTGACAACATGTMTCAGAAATTCCAAGCAAAAGTTTAGTATTTATTGGCAAAAAATGAGAAATGGTCAAAATGACGACAAAGATGCAGTGCTTTCAGACCTTAAATAATGCACAGAAAACAAGTTCATATTCATTTAGAAACAACAATTCTAATGTTTTAACTAGGGCTGGGTACCGAAACTCTGTTCCAACATGTCACCGGGGTGAACATCGATGGTGGTACAGAAACCGAAACACAACTATAACTTCGGTACCTCAAAGAAAGCTGTTAATTTGCGCCCTCTGGTGTTCACAGTGACAGCCTTGGCACACAAYCTCCACGGACRCTCTTGTACGCAGTTCGACTCGGCTTGGTCTCGGCCCAACGCGTCTCTCCAGAACCTCATGTTCGGTGGTTCTAAGCGGGTAGAAGCGAGTACAGCAGCTACTATTTTGACATCAGCAGAATTCTGCCCGTGGATAAACTCTTGTGCCCGTGGATAACCTACATATT